CAATACATAAAAATGACTGATGAGTGGAACAATGTATAAAAAAACATGTTTGGCTAGACAAGGTCTTTCTATTTAATGTTGTTAAAGACAACATAATCAAGTGGCTTGATGGGTGTTAGGGCAGAATAAAATAATCAATAAAACCTCTAAAAAATATATTATATACATTTTTGTAACTAATAGTTTTAAACAAAGTTTAAAATAAAGAAAAAAAAAATGCATAAAACTTTATTTCATGCATTCCCAGGGAGTCAAACCCATAATCTTGCTGTTGTTAGTGCCATGTGCCATCAAGTTGGATTGATGGGTAAGTAAATAAATAAAATAAAGTAATAGAAATAAGGTAATAAAAAATAAAATATAAAGTAATAAATAAACAGATGCAACTATGCACCGAGCGGGCTGAAAATTGATACAAATATGTGATGATTCAAATCGGTTAAGATGTTAAATTAATCGCAATACAATTAGGGATAGAAGTTTATAAGAATGCATCTCTTAAGGGAACTGACTGTCTTTAAAAAAAAAAGTTTAAATGGTATTCTCTTTTCATCTTGTCTCTGTATAACGCATTTTAAAATCGTGTAACGCTGTATTGCTGCTGTTCCATAAGCGCCACCTGCTGGCAGAGAGTGAATCTACATTCTCAATCAGCAAGTCTGCGGTTTTGGTTTCATTCAGATATGTTTTATGTAGTATAGTTTCTAGGGATGTTCATTTCAGTTATTTTTTCCTAGCTGACAACCAACACTCCTTAACCGATTATTAACCGTTAACTGACAAGATTATTTTAAATTAGAATTTAAATTCAATTAGAAAGGATACGTGTCTGTGACCCATTAAAAACTAACATTTGTTTCCCGGGGATTCATTTTACATGTGCAAAAAGCAGCAAATAACAGAACATGAGGATTCACATGGCCATCATTTCACATCACGCACCTGCAGAGCTTCTGCGAGCGGAGAAAAACATAATAAAGCTATGCCGATAAATAGGCCTATACGAGAAATATTTTTACTTAAATAATAAATTAAGAAAATGAAAGAAAAACTGTGCAACAAGTAGCCTAGTATGCAGAGTTTGTTCATTTTTGTGCTGCGCGAAAGGAAACCAGACAGCAGAAAGCGGCAGCCTATTTTTCTTTAGGCTTATTTTACAAAATCACAAAGATTTGTTTTTATTGTGAATGTACACAAATAAAGGCAAACCTTTTACAATTCCGATTATCTTTATGACTAAAAGGAGTAGTTGCTTCCACTGTTAGAAGGAAAAAATTTAAATGATTGCGCCGGCGCCGCATGCGCGCACAGTTAAGCATTGCTACCTTGACAAAGCAGCATGTTCATTATCATAATAAAATACAGTCAGTCAAACATATGGAAAAAACACACTGCTCAGTTTAAATATGTAGTAAAATATGTGCTGTTAAGCGTTATCACCGAACCGTCATAAATGATGTTATGCAAACCATTTTGTTTTACGTGGATATTGGAACGTGAGTGAAGTAGGCTACATAATAAATAATATTTTGTGGGGCACAATTATATAAAATATAATAGCCAAAAAAAAAAATTTACTTTAGAAGTACACAATAGCACGTGGATGGCCTTTAAAGCTATAAAGACATGGATTAGAGTAAAAAAAATAATAAATTCCAAATACATCTCAAAAGTCAAATTTTGATTTCTTAGAGTCATAAAGGAGACTCTTGCAAGGCTAATGAAATTGCTGCGTTTATCATTGAAAACCCATTGCATTTAAAATGCCCAAATACCATATCCTTGCATCAGGCATTCCTCAAAGATTACACTTGAGGTTGTCTAATACACCAAAGCACCTTGGTTTGGAATATCAAAGAGCGTTGTAAAAGTTATGCTAATTAAAGCATCAGATGTGCGCTGAGAGGACTGTGAGGTGGCACACATGCTGAGCTCGGCCCTGCGCGGAACTGATAGGTTGTCAGGGTGCCGCTGGCAGCATTTGTAATTCTGTTCACGACTAAACCGGTTACAGTCCCAGAATCCTCTGCAGCGGGTGTGCCGAGCCGAGGCTCGGACTGCGTCATGCTCACAACCCACAGCAGGAGCAGAGACAGAGATTCAGAGACAGATAGAAAGACCACAGGAAAGCACTTTAAACGATCGGCGCAGATGTCACACTATGAAATGCTTTCCAGATTCAGCCAAAAAGCTCCAGGTGACCCACTCTTCCTAAATTAAATAGCATCCAGTGTCGGTCAGGCAAATGTTATCACATCCCTATTGACATTGTGCAAAATTGCAGGACTACTAAACAAATGCATTAGTGGACAATTTACCCACGTTCAGTCCTAAGCACTAACCCCAAAACAGCACTATTCCACAAATGACCTCTTCAAGGTGACATTGCAGTCTGTCTGGATCATATCTGACGTCACAGGCTGCAATTCTGTGGCTCGCTGCAGAAGGGGTGGGCGGTGGTTCTGGGGCCGACACCTGTCATTCTGCACCATTGTCAATGTGAGTTATAATTAAACCATTCCATAATTTGAACAGCCTATCAGTACTTAATATAACATCTACCACTATGCACAAAACATAAAGCACTGGTTCTACTGCAAAGAGTTAAAGGTTAAAACATTCGGTCAGTTCTTTCATGTATCAAATGACCACATCCATCCCAAAAAGATGATCCCATGAAGATGCTTTTACCAGGGACCTCATATATAAAACACGCATATGTTTAGATTGGATCCTAAATCTGAGCATGAAAAAAAACTGAGGGTCATAAAGGCAGGACTGCATGACTTGTTTTTAAATAAAACTAAAAGTGCGATATGACTTAGTGCTATGATAAATCGCGAAGGCTGGATTTTCATTAAATTTGTAATGAGAAGCGATTATAAACCGAATTTAAAATCGGCATGAAACAGAAGTTGCGTTTGTCTTTTCTTCTTTGCGACATATGAAAACTTCTCCAATGAGAAAAAAAAAAATGTAGGGCGGGATTTAATTCCATTGGGAATTGGGTTGTTGTTTGCTATTGCTGCAATCTCATGTGAGTGACAGGTTGACCCGCTCTTGCACCGAGACATACGTCATCAGGGAAGAGATGTTGTTGCATGAGGGAGGGAAGGTTTTTTTGATTAAAGATTATGAGAGCACATGAATTTAAAAAAAAAATGTGCACAGATAAATCATTTACAATAAACACTGCAATATCCCATAAAAATAAGAATGGTCAATTCTGATTTCATTGTGACTTTAAGCTTGATGTTTAATGTTTGGAAATAAAGAAATTAAGACAGCCATAATCATACTGTAATTTTACAGTACTGTAAAATTAATTATTTTTCTTAAATACTCCTTTTTTTATTTTACAGTGAAATATTATAGTAGTAATATTTCTTGTTTAATTTTTTTAGATTTTATTTACCACCACCACTACAACTACCATTACTACTATTATTATTAATATTGTTGCTGTTATTATTATTTTATAGTCATATTGATATACAATTACAACATTTATATTGTGATATATAATCACAAATTATGCAGCCCTACAAACAAGCACAATGAACCTGGAGCTTTTTTTAAATTTTTATTTATTTATTTATTTTAAACAGGCATGCAAACTTTTTTCTGATTAATTTGTAATACGTCACTTTTGGAGCACGGAGGAATAAGAACTTTGATCAGATAATAATGTGGATTTAAACATAAGCAAAGGAATCTTTAATTAAATTATGATTTTTAAATAATTTGAGAACCATAAAGCGAGATGCTTTTAGGAATGTGCATTGTCTGCAGGAACATTTGGGAAATTATAATTTTTTAATATCACATTTAAGATCGTTCTCTACAAGTCTTTATTAATGAAGTTCTAAAAAAATAAAAATTATAAAACAGCAATTCTTCACATACAACATGAATTATTTGCAAGAGCTCAGAGAAATTTGAAAGCCATCTCCAAATGAATATAAAGCAAAACTATGAGAAGCAAACCAAAAGAGACAACAATGGATATTTACAGTTAGTCATTTAGCAGACGCTTTTATCCAAAGCGACTTACAAATAAGAAAAAGTAATTAAAACTAAAACTTTATAAATACAAAAAAAAATAAAAATAATAATATTTTATATATATATACACATACACACACACACACACACACACACACACACTTAAGAAAATAAAAGAAATTAAATAATGACAAATGCATACAACATTTCAAAACTAAACATTTAAATGAAAACAAAACAATAAAGCTAAAAACTATTCAAAATATTAAAAGAAAAAAAAGGTATGAGTATAATAATGATTCTAACATAACACTAAGCCAAACACCAGAAAAAAAACCTACATATGTGTATGTACAGCCACACACATATACATGTACATATATGTATTTTATTTCATTTCCATTTTGTATGTTGAAGTACTGAAATAACTCAAATTAAATAAAACTAAAACTTAATAAAAAAAAACCTATATAGACATAATAAAAAACTAATAAAATGGCAACATTACTACAACTTTAACTAAAACAGATAACTAATACAAATCAAACTACATTAGTTTATCAGTAATCCTAAAAAATAACACTGAGCCAAACCCACATGCTAAAATAACAACATCTTATTGACACATAGTAAGAAATGGTTTTAAAAAACTGAAACAGAAGTGAAACAAGTAGTAGGAAAGAGGAGAAATAAAAAGCGATACTTATTTGTATCTATTATATATTTGGATATAGCTATGCTTCTAGGTAGAGCATGAGAACGGACTAACGTGATAAGGACTGACGCGCACAGTCCATTGAGGATCAACAGGTGCAACCAAAAATACCTATGCTCCTATAGCGGAGCCGTACGGGGTCCATATAGGGACCGGAGAGCTGAGAAGCTGTAATTAACAACCCAGAAGTGCAGTGACCACACTAATAACTGCATTCAGAGAAAAAAAAACTGAGTGACGCTGTGATTTCAGTCTTAAATTATATAAAGGCAGCACTTACCAGCGACCTCCACAATGTCTCCAGGCACAATTTCTTTGGCTTTGATCCTCTGGACGGCCTTCCTGTCCTGACGGTACACCTTGCCCATCTCTGGCTCGTACTCCTTAAGGGCTTCAATGGCATTTTCTGCATTACGTTCCTGAGATGGAGAGAAGCCAATGTGAAAAAAAAGTAGATTGGGATAGGACTTTCTGTTAGACAGATGTGAGAAACCTGTTTGATAACAGTCATTATTTTCCCCAATTGTGCAGAAATGACACAATTCCCCTGTAATTATTCATAACTCTTTTCATGCTCTACTGACCTGCCAAACACCTACGATGGCATTAGCTATAAGAATCAGTAAGATTACAAAAGGCTCCACGAAGGCAGTGATTGTTTCCTCTCCCTCCTCGAACCAGGCTAATACCTGCAATAAAAAATAAAAAAATTAAGTCAAGTCACAACACATCCCGTTAGATCTAATCAAGCATTTCACATTCAAAACACCCTGTGGATATTTCAAGACCAGTAGATCAAGATTCTAGATGAGACACGCCAGTGACATTTGCCTTCTCATAACGGATTCAACACAGCCCGTTTACAAATGAGATTCTGTTTGGATTGCATAATCTGCATGATTTTAAACAAAAAGTTTAAACGCAGGAAAAAAACGTGAACAAGCGGCATGACGAAAGCCAAACGCAGCAGTATGTTTTAATGACTGGAAATAAAACTCCTACAGCTCACTGCAGCCACAGCACGACATCTGTTATTTCCCTCATTTAGATGCATTATTACATATGAACTCCTCCTAAAATAAGAAGCAGCAACATTATTTACTTTCCATCACATTATTAAGCATAGACTTTCTTATCAACTTAGAGAACAGTTTTGCTTTGCACCTTTAAAAATGGAGTTGCATGATCAGACACAAAGTCCTTAGATGCACTGCTTGAAGGTCATATGTAGAGATTGAAGCCCTCCAATCAACATCTTGGTGGAGTTCTCACGAGACAGTGGAGTTACTGGTCTGTCTGTGGTAATGAGAAGCCTGCAACTGAAGGTCAGAGGCCCAATTTGGCCTGCAGAGATGCTCTCTTACACAGCCAACTACGAGACAGCTGTCAAACCACAGACTCCAACACCTCAGTATCTCTCCGCTGGGCGATGCTGGCATATCTCTCTCGTTCCACCCAAACCAGCCAGTTCAATCTCATCAGCTATGTAGATGCATTGTAACTAATGATTTTGGACAGCCAAAGCATAAAGATCCTTACTTTTTTTTTTAATCTATATTATGAGAAAAACATATCAATACAATATCAAAATGAACTGCTAACTATCTGTGTGTGTGTGTGTATATATATATATATATATATATATATATATATATATATATATACACACACACATTTTATAATATATTTTGTGAATTGAAATGAAAAAACAGCTCCTTAATTATACATGCTTTAACTTATAGCAATTCAACATAATTCAAATTAAATATTGAATATAAAAGCTTTATTCGATTTCATTTTAACTTTCTTAATATTTCATTTACAGTCAATTCTAATAGTAATTTTAAATAATTTGATGAAATACAGAAGATATTAAATTAAATGTTTATTATAATTAATATTATTATTTATTTAAAATAATATATAATTGATTTAACAATTGATTTAATATCTTCTCTTTCATATAGGATATTAATTACTATACAGACAAAAGTATAGTTCATAAATTAATCCATGTGCCGTTTAACCTGTACTTGCTAGGCTAAACCAACACTAAACTAAGCACTGATCCCATACATAAATGTGTCTTTACATTCGGTGGTAAACTATCTAGGCTAATTAATCAAGAGGTCCTTAAACCACGGCTGTAAAACAGCAGTGTACTACGAAGACATCTTGTTTGGCAGCTAGTGACAGACACTCAATCTCACTGAATGCTGTTGTCACCATTCCCAAGGAGTTCCGCTTCCTCAGCTGTTTAGCCCTTTTGATCCGCAAGTAACCCAAGACGAAGCGTGCAAGACTCGAGGAGCTAACAAGACATCTTCACTTTCACAGCCCTTCCGGATAGCAGCCGGTGTTTATTTCAGGGCATGTATCGCTGTGGTTTGTTTCTAGCGTAAAGCAATTAACACCTGACATAAATCTGTGCTGAATCATGTCTGAGAAATGGCTATACTGACCCTATTCGCACTCAAGGAATATTGCACAATAACAATAACTGCAGAAACCTGCCAGAACATGCTACCAAAATGTACTTACAAAAGATATACAAGCTGCCAGAAGAAGAATCCGCACAAGTAAATCTTCAAACTGCTCAAAGACAAGTTCCCATATAGATTTTCCTGTCAAACATCAAAAATTAAATCTATCAGAATCACATGAGGAGTACAATGACAACATCATGTTATAGTTTAAAATAGAATATTACCTTCCTCAGCAGGCAACTCTGTGTGGTTTATTGAAGGATATGAAAAAGACAAAGTATAATGTTACAAAAATACACCGTGAATACATTCCCAAGCAGAAATTGATTTGACAAATTGACATTGACTAAAACACAATAATCCATTACATCAAGACCCGTGACCTTGTAAGAAACACAAAGATTAAATGTGTCTTAGCTTAAAATAAAACAATGCATAATGTTACTCTCTAGACACATAATATTTCAGCAGAGATTTTAAGCAGTATGTCCAAGCACCACCCACTCTGAGAGGAAAACTAAAAATGTGAATGAATATTTGGTTTTAATCCAAATTAGTGGATATTTGGCCCCTCTTTGAGTACATGCTGTGAAACATTTACAAGCTGTTTCTGAGCCAGGTGCTGACAGGAATGTTTTCATCTTGTCTTCATGAAAACATGATGCTGTATAACTGATGAAAGAGGAAGACTGGAGACCAGCCTTAGCTATGCTCGCTTTGATTCTCCAATGGCATAATAAAGTGGAAGGGATTTAAGTATCTCTTTCAGCTGATTTCTGGTCTGTGTGTGCCTGTCTTCCACCTTGTCAAAGTCTAATGAAAATGTGTATGGTAAGCCGTTTTAACATTTCTCCCTTAAAACTAAGTAGCATCCATTTTTATGGTTTCAGCACTTACTAATCCAACTGCGAGTAGAATCATAGGCAGAGCATGTGTAAGGCTTGCGAAAGCTTAGCCTTCCCCTGACCATGGGAACTTGGAGCAAAAAGGCCACTAAATTGGACAAAAATGCCCCTGCACAAATAAATTAAATCTATTACGTCTGTTGCTAACAAAGTGAAAATTAATGGAAAGTGTCAATTTCGAAATTAAGATCTGCTTATGTTGCACTGTTTTTCGTTTTAAGCGTTTTTACAGTGTTGCGCATTATAACCAATCACACACAATTCTGTTGAGCTTAGGAATGCAATGGCCGATCAGAAGCGCTCAGATGAGTCATCGCTGAAACTCAGTTGTATTGAAAAATAATTTATTAGCCTACATGACATCCATATCTGGTTATTGCATAAAAAGATGGGCTTATGATATTTGTAGTTAACAAATTAGGCTGCTTTAAGCCTTGACGAGCATTTTTCAGTTTCACTAGAAACTAATCAGAGTGGTTACTAGTGAAATAGTCACTAATCTGTATTCAGTTAGTCAGTCATACAAATTCTTTGGCAAGTAACAATTCAATTGTTATTGGGAACTATTTTAAAATTTTTGCCATTCATTTCTATGGGAATCTGTGGTTCCGCCTAGTTTGTAGTCCAGATGATGCTGGAACCTATTCTAGTTTTACTAGTACTTATTTATTAGATCATAGTATCTAATAAATCCCAGTTGTTACTGGCATCATTTCTATAGTTTATCTCATTAGCTGCAATTGCTACTTTACTTGTCAATGACTAGTCAGAATGACAACTATTAACTATCTTTACCAATAAACTTAAAAACACTGAAAGTAACAGCTGAAAACGTGTCTAATAATTTAGGAAAACTGAAAGCGAAATAGTCAAAGTAACCAAAAATAAGTACTAGTACCTGTACAGAAGTGAGAAATATACTGGATTGTTTACTAGTAATTTAAATAAGTACAAGAAGCGTAAACCCGATACTAGATTGATTTACAAAAATAAATGTTACAGCGGCTTGCCATAAAAACATGTTTGATGACGTCAGCTGTTTCGAACGCTCCGGCCGGCTGATTGCAACAAATGTAACAATTTCATATCAACTTCAAAGCATCTGTCGAGCGTCGCTGGCCGTGAAGAACACAAAGTACCAGACGTACCGTTGGGACCCCATTTCTCTCTCTGCCGTTTCACCTGGTCTAAAGTCAGTCCCGTGCTCTCGTTGACGCTCAAATAACTATAAACTTCTTCCACACTCTTGGTGTGAGCGTTCTCCATGGTTAGATGGGAAGAGAATCCCGCTCAAGAAATCTGCCTTGGTCAAAAAAAAAATAGATACGAATATGCTTATGAGTGACACATGCATTGACATCCAATGAAGAACATATGTAGAAAGTTGAGACGGACAAATGCACCTTCCAGGAGTCTTATCCAAACACAAGTGTTGTATCTTCTTCTTGTTCCCCAAAGAACTGGGAGTCAGTGGAAGCCAAAAGAAAAGATCCTTGCTTAGTACATCACATTCACCCCCCGTCCAAGCCTCTGCCTGCCTGGAAATGTGACGGTCGACCCCTTTCGCCGTCCTTCTCTCCCGTTCAGTGGTGGTGATGGGAGCGGCGTTTACTCTTGTTTTATCGCAGGAGACTCGCTGCTGCCTCTCTGCCGCATGTGGAGGACGCTGATTGGGCAGCGCGTGTGCAGGGAGGCCATCGACATCCAATCAATCGTCTTGGCCTCGAGCGGCACTGACGAAGATTGAGCAGCCGTTTGCTAATTGGTATAACAGACTGTCACTCAATGCAGCTGATATAACTTTTGCCCCGCCTCTTCAATCTTCAACGCAGGTAGACGCTTGAATCCACAGGTTAACGGTGTTCTTGGAAAGCTGTCTGCACGTGTATTTATGCGAAATGACTGTAGTGTATATATATATATATATACATTTATATATCAAGATATATATATCTTTTATTGAACGTTTGAAAATATAGCCTATATCTATTATATATCATTTATATCATAATTTTTAAATATTTTATATTACATATACATATATATATATATATATATATATATATATATATATATATGTGTGTGTGTGTGTGTGTATGTATATTTAATGTGACAAGAAAATAGAATAAAAATAACCCTCTTAGTCTTTCAGCAGATTTTTTTAATGCATTATTCAGAAATTTAAATGTATTTTTGCATTTATATGACAATGTTACTCAAATGTGTGAATTTTTTTAAACCTTGAAAATAATGATTAATGTTCCCTCGCATGTATTCAACTAAAGCATTATAGTAATTTTTTAAAATTGTAAGTAGAAAATGGTATACAAATGAAATCAGAGTGAAAACAAATAATACAATTCTATATCTTGTTGCCAAATGACTACAGCCCCATTGACTCCCTCTGCCAATGCATTGATGAAATGAACAGTTGGATGTGCCAAAATTTTCTTCAGTTAAACAAGGAGAAAACTGAAGTCATTGCATTTGGAAACAAAGACGAAGTTCTCAATGTGAATGCATACCTTGACTCTAGGGGTCTAACAACTAAAAATCAAGTCAAGAATCTTGGTGTGATTCTGGAGACAGACCTTAGTTTCAGTAGTCATGTCAAAGCTGTAACTAAATCAGCATACTATCATCTCAAAAACATTATGTCCAGTCAAGACTTGGAGAAACTTATCCATGCCTTTATCACCAGCAGGATGGACTATTGTAATGGTCTCCTCACCGGCCTTCCCAAGAAGACCATTAGACAGCTGCAGCTCATCCAGAACGCTGCTGCCAGGATTCTGACTAGAACCAGAAAATCTGAGCATATCACACCAGTCCTCAGGTCTTTACACTGGCTTCCAGTTATATTTAGGATTGATTTTAAAGCACTATAACTCGGTTATAAATCACTCAATGTGACCTAGGACCTAAATACATTGCAGATATTCTCACTGAATATAAACCTAACAGACAACTCAGATCATTAGGATCGAGCCAGTTAGAAATACCAAGGGTTCACACAAAACAAGGGGAATGTGCTTTTAGTTATTATGCCACCCGCAGTTGGAATCAGCTTCCAGAAAAAATCAGATGTGCTAAAACATTAGTCACATTTAAATCTAGACTCAAAACTCATCTGTTTAGCTATGCATTTACTGAATGAGCACTGTGCTACGTCC